TTGGTACAGTATTCTGCAGTAGAGTACACGTACTTCGTTCAGCTTCCCGATACAAAATATAAAGGCAGAAAGACCCAGAAGTTCAGCCATGGCCGGCAGAGCGGCACCAGGATGCAGCGCAGGGTCGCGACGATGTCTTGCGTGGCCTTCAAGGGAGTTTGAAATTACAAGGGGCAAACATCAGGGGACAGGTGCAGCGGCAGCCGCCTCTCACCCTGTACTTTGAGTAGGGGTGGTCCCTGGAAGCTCCAGATCCCAGAAGCTTTTACAAGGCCCCCCCTGTAAGAATGCGCACATCCCCCGGCGCCAAGCTTTCCTGCTCAAGGAGTTAAAGATGTTTCACAATGTCCGCCCACTCAGGCAACTTTCCAGCACATTCAGCACCTCCAGGACTCTGAGAACCCTCCCCGCGCCCACGCCCTGCGTTTGGCTGACAACCCCTCTCATTACCAGAGGTTCTTCTTATTCTCTCTATGGAATTATCAACCACCAATTATCGTCACTAACACCATCAACGCTCGTTCCCCTCCGCTTGTCAAATTTCAAAAAATCTGCGCGCGCGCCTCTTTGACATAGTCTCCACCCTCCAACTTCGGGCATTTTCCACGCGAGGTCCATCGTAGCGACAGTGCGCACGATGCATTCCTTCCCTCTGTTTGCTGTCTTGTCCTTGGAAATACTGCAAGTCCAATGATTCCACGTCACGTACCTGCAGTTTGTCCAGGTCGCATGAGCTTGGCGCCAAATACACAAACACGTGAACGCCATCTTCGGGCCCGCCCGTCCATGCTGGAGGCGTTAGCCACATTGGGCCAGCGGCCTAGCACGCCTAGCAGGACTAGCCGGACTAGCAGGACTAGCAGGACAGTCCGGCCAATTTCTTAGTAAGATAACAGAACCACAACCCAGCAGATTAACAGAGTACATACGATCGGCTCGCATACTACCGTGCGATTGATGGCTTCACTTATAGGGTTCATCAATACGAACTGCCGAAGACCATCCTCAACCTCGAGTGCAAGCTACTGAGCTAGCTGCCATGACTCGAGAGACGAGCCCATCACAATTCCCTCGGCTTGCTCATCCTCATCAAGAAAATCATTGGCATCGACAAGCCGCAATGGCGTCTCATCTTGGTCGTTTACGTTAGTGCGAGACCATTCGGCCGAGCTCAGACCAGTCGTTCTCTTGAAAGCACTGTTCAATGGGCAAGCCTCGTAAAGTGAGCCAGGACCGCACAGTGTAAGTGGAGGGTAAAATAGCCGCCATGTTATAACGGTCCACCATCTTTATAATCCACTACAGTATGGACAATACTTGGACAACAGCTCATTCAGCGCGACAAGAGTTCCAAAATAAGTTGCCTCTACCAGTCTGACAATCGTCCAAAGTGGACACGGGCGACTCTCTTTTCTATCGTCTTTGCATGACATGTCAGTGGTGTTGAGCAGAGCCGGAGATTGCGCCGAGATGACAACTTTCGGTACGCTTTCGTAGTCGTCAGTCCCACCAAGCGCTTGGTTTGCTCGTCTAATTTTTGGAGCTTTTTGGATTGTTTTGGAGATCATATCGTGTTCGGCTGGGTCTTGCTGGACCAACACGCGTACGTAGACTAGTAAGCGGCAAAGTATGGCCTATAGGATTTCCAACTTAGATATGCTGTGTCTGGTTATCTTGTCTCAACGTCTCAAGCAAGTGGCCTGCCCAAGACGGGTAATTGGCTGAGGAGGCGCCGACAGTCTAATAAAGGGTGCACAAAAAGTTGACCTACCAACCTAACAGCCTGCCAACAAGCCATAGCCACACAGGCACTGCCTGATTATTAGGCTCCATCATCCGTCTGTCTGTTATCGGATGCATACTAGACCAAATGCACACTAATTATAGGCATCAGCAGCATAAACCGACGTGCCGTAAGCCAGCCACAATCATATTCGCTCCTGCTGCGTCCAATTGACCGAGTAGACATTACCACAAATGTTGCTATCTAGGTCTGGAAAGATAGATGAAACACTGGAAGGCTGAAAGGAACTTCTCGAGACTTCACTGCCGACCAGCCGAGCCAATTTGTTAGACGAGCGTCAGTGATGAGCTGCTCCAATGTAAAGGCTTGCTCTTTCCAGCCTTTCTTAAGCTGAAATGCTCATAGAAACTCAAAACTTGGGACTCATATTCCACAAACGACACCGCGAAGTTAGGCAAGTCCTCTGCCCATCATGATAAACAGTTCCACAAAAGCAGCAACGAGTGGATCTTGTAATCATCTCACGCTCGGAACTAAACTGCCGCGGTCACCCAGTCGGCCAATATGACTGGATTAAAGACAAACAACGACAAAATTCTACATTGGGAGACCGAACAATCAGACTCCCTGGAACTCATAGCGAAATTGGCTCCCTGAAATTCCCTTGAACCCGCACGCACGCACGTACCTGATCTGATCCATCACACATATACATACATGCAAGCATGCCCACAAAAAGCGCATGGTTTCGCTAAATTTCAGAAGGAGACTCAAATCTGGAGACGAGGACCATATGCGATCAAATGGCCACTGCGCCGAGAATAAGATATTATCAAATTTTGGGATATGATTGTGCATGGCACGGCTATGCGGCAGAGAGACCGAGAGAGAGAGTGTGTGTGGGTGTTGATACTGATGGACTGCCTTGGCGTTATTATCATTATGCTTTGCGAAAGCGTGTACTGTAGTACTCGACGCGAGCTTCTCATCAATAATGTGGTACTAGGTATGATTCTGGGATTTCAAGAATGGACTCGGCTTCAGTGGCTTTGTATCTTGGGCCATTACTTTTGAAGCAGGACCGTAAGCGAGAGTGCTTGATGGACATCGGCGATTTTGGATTTGGAACTTGGGCCCGCTCGTGGTGTTTATTGTGAAGGGTTCTTTATAAGGTAGTGAGTTGGAGATGTCTTTTGACAAGAGAGTTCTACTCATGCTATGGATGTCGACTAGCCGATGGTTCGTTTGTGGACACAATTTCGAAGTTGCCTGGCCCCGTAGGAGGTGGTGATATATTCGTAATTGGATCCGAATTGACAAGCTACGTTTGATCAGCTACGTGCTGAGATCCCAACTTAGGTACTATTGTCATACTTCTCTCAAATTCCGGAAGTCCTTCGTGCAGTTATAAATCTCAACCTGCTGAAGGCATCTGCATCTTGTCACAGGTGCTAAGATCTCGAAAGGCAACTAAATAAACAAATAAATATACAGAGTGCCAATTTCACTGGAGATCATCATAATTGCACAAGTCAATTGATCTTCAAAACATGATGGAAATTGTCTCTCAAAATCCACATTCAGGTCATTCTCTGGAATGTATTCTTCTGTGCCGTCTAGTTGGCACTGGCTCAGTCCGCACCAGCCGCGTCGTACCACTCAGGCTGCATGTGCTGCTTGACCGTTACAAAAAAGCAACTGTACTTACTTACCTTGCCATCCCGCCGGTCTTCTCAGTTTTTTTTATCAGAAAAGAATCCGAGGCGCCCATGTCTCACTCCAATACGCCCAAACCCTCTGTTCTGAGCTGTGTGATAAACACGGGGTATCACCTAATACGGCAAGTCATTCTATTGATCTCAATAGGATGTCAACCGATTAGGTTTCTTTTTGGTTTAGATGATCAATTTTCTTCTAGTACTTCCAAGTCTTTCGCACAAAAGATAGGCGGGAAGACTGAGTCCCCAAAGAGAAACATTTCTGGAGAATGCAAAATAGGAGGCTGGGTTGAATCTGATGTATCGTAATACATGTACGTCAACCCCAGCCCCTTGAAGGTTGCTGGATGGGCAAAGATAATAGGTCGTATGAGTTTCCTCAATAAGAGACGGCTAGACAATATAATATGTCTGTCTTGAAGTACCAGCTGAAGGCATCGGTATATGCGTGCCTCAATAGCCTCCTGCCGGAATCAGGATGGCAATTCTGTGTCAATAGATTCTGTCAGAGTGAACCAATCAAATCATACAGCTCAAGCAATTTCGAAATTCTCAACAATAGTACCGTTGAATGATATTTCATATTGTCTCCTACTATGAAGTTCACAGGGCTGCTCTCTACCGTTTGATTCACGGTCCGAAATATTCATTCAACGAAATGGTTCCTCCTGTTCCAGATACAGACTGTATACAGCTGTTGATCAACGAGACAATCTCTGGCTTGTGTCGAAATGACCATCTAGAATTACGATGTGGATGTGTCTGCCTCTGTAATTGAGACCGACAGCTAGCCTTCAGCCACGGATTTGATGATAGGATTTGCGGTATCGAAGAGACCGTATACATCATAGCATAACTGCATTGCATCTGAACCCCGATTAGGTTATGTCTGATTTGCAATTACAATGACGGCATTTCTCAGACTACGTTGGTGCCAGCCGCTATGTGGTCGGACCAAAGCCTGTCAGGCTGGAGCAATTTGTACACGTATGATCCAGTATGATCTTGGTATAGCTCTCAATAATCGCCAGGATATCTGAAAATATATTGAGGGACTCAGTCCATCAGCCGAACTCATTATAGGCAAATATACGCGGATTTTCAGATCAAGACTGATATCAAGGCAAGGTGGATTCAATGTGAAGCATCTACATGATCTTTCATACAAGACACAGTTCTCCAGATACTTATTGAGACCATTAACCTGCAGCAGGAGTCACCAACACATGTTCATCCACAGTCTCAACCGGACCAAAGGATTCCCTCTTACTGGTGAACTTGGTGATTTCGTGATATTTGACCGTCAACGTCAAGTCGACTGGAAGTCACTTTCAATGCCGACTACAGTAAGGTCACCGTTGCCCTAAATTGAGGTCAAAAACTATCCAGATAGCCATTGAAAGCCTGACGACCCTTGAACAAACATTCAAATTATCATAACATGAGCCTCCACATTATACCCTTCGTGATCACACAGGACGTTTGGATAATCTCAGTGCGTAGGCCCCACCTGCCACAGGAGTTCAAAGTTGCAAAAAAGACCCTTCTCGGACTCGAACCAAGGACCTTGGGATCTGCAATCCCACGCTATAACCGCTTAGCTAAAGAGTCACCGTGGTTAACACTGAATACTGGTCAACGAAGCTCTATATTTCTTGTGAATTGTTACAGCCAAATTGTTATTCTAGTCTGGATTTCGTCGTATTTTACAACAGATCTGGATCGATTGAATAAACGAGAGCCTGAAACCACCCAAGTATGCAAGAATCGCCAGTTTGACGAGCGAAAGTGGCATTCATGCTTTTAGATCTTCGAGTTCAAACGGACTTGTTTAGGAGGTTTGACCGTGAATCTCAGTATTTCAAGACTCGTCGATGACTCAAGTTTCAGCATTGCTCCTATATTCGTGATATTACGGTCTAGAAGAGCAGGGGCTTGTGTATAAACCTACAGAGGACTAGATGTAGGCGATACAACCATCTCTCGAATACTATCGAGCGTCCTCAACATAGGTTGATCGCTCTGTCTGGCCGCCAAGTGTACTTTGGTACTTTGTACGGAGGTACAACTGTCGTCGACTGGTCGTCTACCACAGCCGAACCCTAACCCCGCTTGGAGCAAGCTGACCACTGACGTCGGTCCCTGCTCTGCGATGCTTCACGCCACTTCATGCAAAGCGGGTGCATAATCGATAGGTTGAGATGCACCACTCTACCCATTGAACAGCCCCATTTCGACGACCTCCTGAGCAAATGCCAAAACTCTTCAACGGCCACCTCACTACGACACCACCCGCATAGCACGTTTATGCCCTCCTACCGTCACGAACACCCACTCCAACAGCCACCACCATGAGTGGCCGGCTTCTGGCAGCGGGGATCGTGCCCCTTAGCACACGACGCGCCGCCGCCCTCCCAGAAGCCGCCGTCCGCCACTACCACCGCTTCCGCTTCCCGACTGGCGGCCTACAGCGCGCCGATGCTGCGATACGAGCCACGCGGCAGCGCATGTGGTTCCCAGCGAACGCCTTTCACAACGCTGTTGTTGTCCGGAATGCCTCCTTTGCGAGGTTTCTGCCGAAACTGGCAGCCAAGTTCATTCGAATACCTGCCATGTTTGGAGGCTTGATGATTGGCGGTGTGGCGTGGATTCAGTACCAGGCTATACGTAAGTTCTCCTGAAGGGGAACATTGCAGGACGAAGCTAACAGCTACTTGCTAGAGGTCAGCAACTCCGCAACAGAGATGTACAAGAATGCAAAAGGAGTAGCTTCAGAGACAGCGTCAGGCCTCTTTACCGGCGCAAAAGATATCGCAGGCCAGATAGGGAGGGGGTGGGAGAATACAAAAGACAACGTCGAGATGCCAGAATGGATGCAGAAGATTCTGCGGCTACAAGAGGACATTGGCACGGGCGGTGAGGGAGGCGGCCCCGACCCTGGAAAAGAATCACCCAAATATCGGAAGGCCGCAGCTGCTGCGAGCGCTTCGGCCAGTGCCTTCACTATTGTGGAGAATGACCGGGACGAGGAGGAGATTGCAAAGGATGACCAGATGATGATCTTGACCAAGAAGATGATCGAGATTCGGAATATCCTCTCCAAGGTTGGCCAGTCGAGCGCACTTACCTTGCCGTCTATTGTTGTGATTGGATCACAGTCGTCGGGAAAGAGTTCAGTCCTGGAGGCCATCGTCGGTCACGAGTTCCTCCCAAAAGGCTCCAACATGGTCACGAGACGGCCGATCGAGCTCACACTCGTCAACACACCCGACACGAAGTCCGAATACGGCGAGTTTCCAGATCTTGGTCTCAAGACAACAGACTTCACGTCCATACAAAGAACGCTCACTGACCTCAACCTGGCTGTACCGGACACCGAGTGTGTGTCTGACGACCCCATTCGTCTCAGCATCTACTCCCCGAATGTCCCAGACCTGTCCCTGATCGACTTGCCGGGTTACATCCAAGTTGTTGGCCAGAACCAGCCACTTCAGCTGAAGCAGAAGATTACGGAACTCTGCGATAAGTACATACAACCCCCGAATGTGATTCTGGCCATTTCCGCCGCAGATGTCGATTTGGCAAACTCCACCGCACTGCGAGCAAGCCGGAGGGTAGACCCACGAGGAGAGCGAACGATTGGCGTCATCACCAAGATGGACCTGGTCGATCCTGTGCGAGGCGCGGGCATTCTCTCTGACAAGCAATACCCGTTGCGCCTTGGCTACGTCGGCGTTGTGACCCGCGCGCCTAGTGTGCAGGCTTTGTTCAAGAAAGGCACAGGTGGAAACCTCACTACTGTGATTGCAAAGAACGAGAACTCCTTCTTTTCCGCGCACCCTCTTGAATTTGGTGAGGGGTCCGGATCGAACGTAGGCACCCTCAACCTGCGCAAGAAGCTCATGCACGTCCTGGAGCAGACCATGTCTGCCAGTTTACAGAGCACCCACGACGCCATTAGGCAAGAGCTTGAGGAGGCGACCTATGAGTTCAAGGTACAATACAACGACCGCCCTCTGTCAGCAGAGTCATATCTTGCCGAAAGTCTGGACGCCTTCAAGCACTCGTTCAAGCAATTTACCACGGAATTTGGCCGGCCGCAAATGCAAGAAATCCTCAAGACCGAACTCGACCAACGAGTTCTCGACCTTCTTGCTCTCCGCTACTGGAACAAGCCTATCACCGACCTTTCACCACCACCTCCCGAGGCCGACACGCTTGCAGACCTGCCAAAGTCCGACCCTGACAATCTCTACTGGCACCGGCAACTCGACGCTTCGACGTCTGCGCTTACGAAGCTCGGCGTCGGTCGCATGGCCACGAGCGCAGTTGCGGGCGCAGTGCAGTCGCACGTTGAGCGGCTGATTGCACAGTCGACATTTGCAAATCACCCGTTCGCGCGCGAAGCCATTACGAATGCCGCCTCCAACATTCTCAACGAGAGATTCTACAGCACGAGCGACCAAGTCGAAAACTGCGTCAAGCCGTACAAGTTTGAGATTGACATTGAAGACCGCGAGTGGTCAAATGGACGTGAGCATGTATCTGGCGTGCTCAAGACCGAGCTGCAGGCGTGCCAGGGTGCTCTGGCCAGCCTGGAGAATGTCGTCGGCGGGAAGAGGAAGCTGAAAGAAGTCATGACCTTTGTAGACAAGTGTCGCAAGGGAGATATTCCTATTGAAGGCGAGGGAAGGATGGGTGCTGGTGGTTTCAGCGCCGCGTTGTTAGAAAAGGGTTCGTTTCTCATTTCTCTATTCTTCCCCCCTACTAACATAACGACGCGACACTAATCTCACACCATTCAGGCCGAGAAGCAGTATTCCTCCGTGACCGTGCCGATATTATCAACATGCGCCTCCTCGCCGTCAAGTCCCGCCAATGCAAGGATCTCAAAAACAAGTACTACTGCCCAGAAGTCTTCCTCGACGCCGCGGCCTCCAAGCTCGCCCAGACAGCCGTTCTCTTCCTCAATGTCGAGCTGCTTTCCGAGTTCTACTACAATTTCCCGCGCGAGCTCGACATGCGCTTGGGCCGCCACCTGTCGGATGACGATATTGAGCGCTTCGCGCGCGAGGACCCCAAGATCAAGCGGCATCTCGAGGTCATTCGGCGCAAGGAGATGCTGGAGCTTGTGCTCGAGAAGATGGAAAGTTTGCGCCAGTTTGAGGGCCGCACGGAGAAGCCTCATCGGGGCGCCGGCGAGAATAAGAGGGACCGTGGGGGACGATGGGGTTTGTTTTGAGAGGGTGATTGGAAGTGTTGGTGCATAAGAAAGGGGTATGTCTGTGAGTGTTGCTCGTCGCATGCATACATATAGCAAAGGGAAACTTAGCCATTCATACAGACAAATGCTATAGGACGGAGCTAGAGAAAAGGAAATCTCTTACCTTGAGAGAGACAGCGGAAGAACGGACGGGGAGTGGCCAATCTGCTACTTTATATACCAAGTGATGTTTTCATAACGATACAGTATCAGTTCTTCTTTTCCTCTACCGACACAGAGATGCAGGAATGCAGAAAGGGTGTTTTTCGTTGTTTTTGGCGGGAAGTCTGTCTAGTCATTCGTTGATAAGAAATCATGCTAGAGGTGGGACAAGGACTTTAGTTATCATGGGGTGTGTTTCTCTGCTCATCTACTTATTGACACGCTCTGAAGAAATAAAGACAGTCCGCTTGCTAGAGGATTCAAATGCGTCATATCACAAATGACATGTTAAAGAAAAAAGACATCATCACGAGGTGGCAATTAGTCTCAATCGACAACTTTAGCAAAACAAATCTCCATCATCAAATACTATGCTCGCTTCTATTCAGAATAATCTCATCAAAGGACTGCACACGCCGCAGACTCGTCTCGCCCCGTGAGCCGCCTTTCAAGAAGTAGCAATCGCTAGCAGAGTCCTCATAGTCGCAGCACGACGCGGATGCAGACGCAGACGCAAACACAGCCTGCTAAATCGGATCGGTGCTCATCTGCAGCGTGATTTCCCACCTCAGCGGCGGTCCTACGCTCTTACCATAACCTGCGCCGTCACCCACGGTCCCGCCTAGTCTATTTTGCACAATGCGTCCGATGCGCTGTCGTAATTGGCTCATGGCTGTGTCGTCGCACCCGCGAATTACGCACAACTTGACGGTAGCCATGCACAGCCCGTAGTGGACCTGCCAGAACTGCGCCTCTTCGACGCGGGACACGGTGGGTTCGGACTCGATTTCGCGGACGACGCCGTCGGTGTCGCTGTGTTTCTTGTCCATCGTGAGACCTGTAGATGGTGTCAACGAGGACGTTGTGGCTGTCGTCTCCGAGTCGTGTGGGCGTCCGTTGTACGACATGAGCAGCATGAGACCTTGCGCAATGGCGAGCCGAGAACCGAGGATGAACATGGATGTGGCAATGGCAACGCAGACAAGTCGATCGAGCCAGACGAAGGAGGTGACAGAGAGTAGAGGCAGCAGGAGCATGAGAAAGCTGAAGAAGAGGGTGAGAGAGTGGAAGGGGTTTGCGAGTATCTCGGGAAGAAATGTGGACAGGTACGACGGCTGCATGACGCGCCGAATGCGGGCGTGATTCTCGAGTCCGTATGCCGAGACCAAGGTGCTCAGTGCAGCAG